ATAATAATAATAATAATAATAATAACAGTTATGAAACTAATTTCCTTCAGTTAGAGCCAATCCTTGAATATCAACTACAAGCCTTGGTACTCAAGCCTAGATTTCAGTAGCTTACCTTGGTAGGCTGTTTTTCATGCTATGTTGGAAGCTACTTGACCCATGAATGTCCAGCCTTTCTTATTATGCCAGGTATATTCTATTCTGCAGCTGTTGAATACAGAAGGACAGGAAATCATTTTGCTAGCTTTGTAACACCCACTTCAAATTAAAAAATGGGGCATTTAGATACTTCCTAACTGTTTCTAGGTTGTTTACCTCAGGTTGGAGGCAAGCATGGGGACAGGATAACACTTAGAGCAAAACAGGTAACTGTTTTATTTTAATGCTATGAAGATTAGTCTTTATGGCTTTGAAATGTGCATTATTATTTTAAATGGTACTCCAACAAATATTTGTTACTTAAGTCACACATACAGTTTAGATTGTATTCCACTTAAGATAAATTTTCAGAGACACCCTAAGAAAATACACAGGCAACATTACTCTAAACTTAAAAAACAAGAAATCCATTCCTTTATCAGAAAAATCCAGCCTTCCTGCAGTTTGGGGGCCTGTGCAGGGACTGGACTCTGGTGGCACACATTGCTGAGAATCTTTTTGGTGCTTTGTGCTTGGCTTAGCAATGGATCCTCTGGCAGTCTGCATGATGGAGCACATTGCCCTGATATATGGCAGCATATACTGAGTTCCAGCAATATTAATCTGCAAGGTATTTGCATGGGCTACTTCTTCATATATTCCTGTTGTTTCTGCTGTTACATATAATCCTTTTCACTGTGGAAAAAGTCTTCTTAGTAATGGTGATGATATAATGTGTATCTAAAGCACTTCTAAGTTGTCCAGAAGGAAAGCACACAGCATTTAGTTATCTTCAGTTAAAGAAAAAATTCTGCTACATGAGAAGTCGTGCAGTTTGTGCTGTGATGTCAAATGGACAGTAATAATGTGTGGCACCATTCCCTTAAGAGCTCCTGTCTCCCTCCAGTTTCAGTTCGACCCTATGCCATAAAATTCTGCAGAGAAAGTCTTTCCCTCCAGGTTTAACTAATATAACACCAAAATCTTTAGAAGTCATAATAGGCCTAGCCACTCCCAGGGCTTTTATTCATTGTAATTAACAGAAGAATGAACAGACATTCTATTTTTTGCCCCCAGATTTTCCTAGCTATGGGCTCCAAGGCTTGGCAATTGGCCGGTGCTGTAACTGAGCCTAGCCTCAAAGGTGAACTAAAGGGAAGGCTCCTTGGAAATACAAAAACAGTAGCTGCACTCAGTCCATTTGTTTGCATTGCTTTGGTTTCCATGGTTCCATGAGACCAGTCTAAAAATGCTGCCTTTAATTAAGAAGACATGTTTAGCTTGTACCCATCCAAAGCTTAGCAACAGTGCAGTGTGGGCTGTGTTGTACTACGGAGGGCTGTAGATACAGTGCCAGAGAACAGGCTAAGCTGACACTGTTCCTTATTAATCATGAGCCTGTGGAAACACGGGCTTGGACGTGACTTTCATTAAGATACCTCATCTAAGCTAGAGGAAACCTGATCTTGTAACTTTTGTGGGTGATTATCAACATCCAATTTCTGAAGACTTATTTTTAATTTTAATGCTATGAAGATTAATCCTTATGGCTTCAAAATGTGCATTATTATTTTAAATGGTACTCCAACAGCTCTTAAGGGAATGGTGCCACACATTATTACTGTCCATTTGACATCACAGCACAAACTGCACGACTTCTCATGTAGCAGAATTTTTTCTTTAACTGAAGATAACTAAATGCTGTGTGCTTTCCTTCTGGACAACTTAGAAGTGCTTTAGATACACATTATACCATCACCATTACTAAGAAGACTTTTTCCACAGTGAAAAGGATTATATGTAACAGCAGAAACAACAGGAATATATGAAGAAGTAGCCCATGCAAATACCTTGCAGATTAATATTGCTGGAACTCAGTATATGCTGCCATATATCAGGGCAATGTGCTCCAGGCATCCATTATGCTGGAGGCTGGAATATACTGAATAGATACACTGCACATGCCCAGAATATCTCTTGTGTGGTAGGAGAAGGACCAGAGCACCTGACTATTTTGTTGGGGTTTTTTTGCCCTCTTCCCCAGTGTATTCAAGAGATTTCATACACATTTATAGAAATGCTGCCCTTTGTATTGGTGGGGATGGAACATGGAACTACACATCCACAAAGCACGAAGGAGGGAGACAGAACACCAAGATCCATTCCTTGTATTCTGTGCCCCCAAAGGGCAGCTTGGCAGTCGATGCATAAACCGTTTCACCAAGCCCTGAACATCTTTATGCCTTTGGGTTTATTTGATTAGGCAGCATGCAGTCAAGTCATATGCATATCAGAAGGCAAAAGAAACTACATCTAATGTACAGTTTATAATACAATTTGAGACACTGTTAGGTGGTGATCAATATAGTGCATAATGGCACATTGAGTCTGTCTGACAGTAAAAGTTATTTAAACTAATTAACACAGTCCATCAAGCTGATCTAGCTGGGTCAAATGAAGGGATCAGAAGAGATTTCAGCTGCTTGCTCATTGGATTTAGCAGGAGTACAATTTAGTGTTGAATCACAAATAGCATATATTTTTTTCTCTTTTGGCACAGGTATGGGCCACCAGCTCAAATGAATGTTCATCTGAAAGGTCGTGACCTCCTTACTCTACAGAACTACACAGCAGATGAGCTGAAGTATTTACTGTGGATGGCCTCAGATTTGAAACAAAGGATAAAGCACAAAGGAGAGGTAAAATGCTTTAACTGTCATTGAGGTCACTCAGATGTTGAAATAAATATTGTTCTGAAGAGTATTGGGAATGAGCCATTCAGCTGTCTTCTCCTAAACAACATCACCTGAGCTCTTAAATACTGTAAATCTTGTGACAAAAATCAAAGAGCCTTCCTGTAAAATGTTCAGAGATACTCTTTAAACACTTCAGAGGACTTTACAAGTAAAAAGATTAAACAGCTTTGCTCACAGCGCTACCTCTCTGTGCTTGGCTAACCCCATCCACTGACACATGATGTACATGCAGCACTAAATGCAGGACATGGAAGACACTTCCCTGCATGGTATTAAATGACTGTCAGAGTTCTCCTTAACACTAACTCAATTTCAGTGCCAAAATGCAGTTGCTTTTTCCTCCTAGAATGACTTCTTTCCACTGCTAATAAGTACCTTGAAGGTCAAGAGAATAAAGCAATGGTTAAAAAAACACCTGTGTAACTTTTCTAATGCTGAATTAAAATGTGAAAGTATTTCACACTGTAAAGCGTACAATGACTATAAAATTGAAATGCCTTCTATTTCAATTTTTAAATGCCTTTTTCAAAATTGAAATGCCTTCTATTTTCATGTTCCAGTATTTGCCTTTGATGCAAGGAAAATCTTTGGCCATGATTTTCGAGAAGAGAAGCACAAGAACAAGATTATCTGCAGAAACAGGTAGGTCTGAGCAATGGCACAGTCAGATTTTGTATGAAATTGTATACTGTATGTACTGAAAGACTGCATATTTTTTTATTTAGCCATTTGTACTCAGAAGAAACCTGAAGTTTCAAATCAAAAATAGGAAAAAAAATGGTAGTTGATTGTGTTTCGCCTTGCATAGTAATGTCACAAGCACATCACTTTGGTCACTGAAATTTTACGAGATCATTCCAAAACATGATAGATCAGAAATAAAGTAACAGGTAGAAGTATGCATTTGTGGAGTAAGCTCCTAGTTGTACTGGCAAGATGCACGTTTCCTAACATCTATTTTAGTAAGCTTTACAAATTTAATTCTGTGCAAGATCTAATAAATATTTTTCTAATGTATTATGCATTACTGCTGTCACATTTCAGAGTATGTGTTCAGGCTGGGAATGATAGTAATGCCTTGATATAAATTAGGGGAAAAGAATTTAACATGATTACCTACAGGGCAGGAAAACTTGATGGAGAGTCCAGGGTATTAGCCCAATAAGATTAGGCACCAGAACATTATTCTTTTAGGATACAGTCCTGCAAACACTGAAACACATACATATCTCTATTTACATGGTAGTTATTCTGAAGTCAGTGGAACTGCTGAAATAAATCATGTGCTTGCATGTTAGTAAGGAATAACCATGAATTTGTAACACATCAAGGAAGGAGAAGCTTGCCCTTCTCACATTTAAGTTGACTCAGCATCCTTTAGGCAGGCTTCTTCCTAGTGAAGGGACAGGAAACTTGTTGAGTTTCTTGTAAACATTTCTTGTAAACACCTTGTAAACATTTCTTTACAAGGTGTAAGGGAGAAGGTAAAAATAATGGAAGAAAGGAGAAGATGTGTTAACTGCAAGCACTTCTGAATCTACCTTTGTATCCTCTGGCACAGCCATTTGCCTGCTGATCCTGCTCTTTATGTAGACTTCTTGTTGCTTTCTGTTTTTTTCATATAAGGAGGACTTATCAGTGGGTTTCTCTTGTGAGTTCCCTCTCTGTGAAGACCACCCACCTTTTAATTTTGGAGTTTTTAGTCCAGTTTCTAGTTGCCTGCCATACTGGTACATGGACAGGTAATGACAACTTCTCTGAATCTGTTTATCCTTCATACTTCTGTGTTCAGATGGAAGCACTATTTAGTCCTTTGCTTTTGAAGGCTTATGGAGGAGGGAAGCTCAGGAAAGTTCAAATGAATTAACTTCAGGATGGGAGTTAATGCACACAAATTCATCCAAGAGGGATTAAACTCCAGTGAAATAAACCCAATTTATTTCTGAGTGAGGGCTTCCACAAGGGAGTTTAATGCATTTAATGCAATTCTGTGCATTAACTTCACACCTTCAGTTAATTGGTCTTAAGTCCCTTAGGCCTAAGACTTTGTTTGAAAGGCAGACAACTTTTTTCTGTCCATGGAAACCCCATACATTTCAGCTGCTTTTTAGCATACATAACTTCTCCCTTGGAATTTCTAACTCAAAACAAATGTGGGGTCACATGTGTTCCTTTTAGCTAAATAAGCTAATTTAATAACAGTTTTCAGTGAAAGTGGACATTGAAGTGGATTGGATTGTTTATCTATAAAATACCTTAGTCATCTCAAATAGCATTTTCCACTAGTTGCACCTTCAGTATCTTGAAAGAGGTCACTTGTGGGACAAGGTTCTGGTGATGAGATTAATCTAAACAAACTTTGCAACTCTCGGGAACAACTAGATGAAAATGGGTTTCATTATAAAGGAGTAGAGACTTTGTCCCTGCTCATGGCAGGGGGGCTGGAACTAGATGATCTTTAAGGTCCCTTCCAACCCAAACCATTCTATGATTCTATGACTTGGAAAGCACTGATTACAAAATCTGCTCTGTGCAGTGTCTGGGGGTTTGTTGCCATGTATTAACACCAGGGAAGTCTTTTCAGAAGTGCTGCTGTCCCTATTCCTATAAAGAACACCATTATTGAAAAATAAATACACAGAATCACAGAATGGCCAAGGTTGGAAGGGACCTCTGGAGATCACCTGGTCCAGCCCCCCTGCTCAAGTAGGGTTATCTACAGCCAGTTGCCCAGGACCATGTCCAGAAGGCTTTTGAGTAGTTCCAAGGATGGAGACTCCATTACCTTCTGGGGCAACCTATGACAGTGCTCAATCACCCTTTCAGTAAAAACAGCTTTCCTGACATTCAGAGGGAACCTCCTGTGTTTCAGTTTGTGTCCATTGCACCACTGAAAAGCTCCTGGCTCTGTTCTCTTTACACCCTCTGTTCATGTATCTATATACATTAGTAAGATTCCCTCTTGAGCCTTCTCTTCTCTAGGCTGTGCAGTCCCAGCTCTCTCAGCCTTTCCTTATCTAAAAGATGCTTCAGTCCTTTAGTTTACTGACTCTCTGCAATGTGTCTATGTCTCTCTCATACTGAGGAGCTCGGAACAGGACACTCCAGGTATGGCCTCACCAATGCTGAATTAAGGGGAAGGATCACCTCCCTCCACCTGCTGGTAATACTTTATCTAGTGCAGCTCAGGATACCTTTCGCCACCTTTCCCAGAAAGGCACCTTGCTGGCTCATGTTCAACTTGGTGTCCACTGGGACTCCCAGGTCCTTTTCTGCCAAGCTGCTTCCCAGCTGGGTTGCCCCCATCATGTACTGGTGCATGGGGTTGTTCTTCCTCAGATGCAGGACTTTGCACTTCTCTTGCTGAGCTTCATGGTGTTCCTGTCAACCTGTTTCTTCAGCCCATCGAGGTCCCTCTGGGTGGCAGCACAGCCCTCTGGTGTATACACTCATCCCAGTTTGGTGTCATCAGTAAACTTGCTGAGAGCACACTCTGCCCCATCATACAGAAGATTAATGAAGATGTTAAACAGGACTGGACCCACTATTACCTGGGCTACGCCTCTAGTCACTGGCCTCCAACTAGACTTTGCACCACTGATCACCACCCTCTGGGTCTGGCCATTCAGCCAGTTCTTAACCCACCTACTGTCTGCTCATCCAGCCCATACTCCACAGCTTCTCTATGAGGATCTTATGGGAGACAGTGTCAAGGGCCTTAATGAAGTCCAGGTAGACAATACTCATGGCTCTACCTCATCTACCAGGCCAGTCATTTCGTCATAGAAGTTTATCAAGTTGGTCAAGCATGACTTCCTCTTGGTGAAGCCATGCTGATTATGCCTGATCATTTTCTTGTCCTTAATCTACCTGGAAATGGTGTCCAGGATTAGCTGCTCCATGGACTTGCGAGGAATTGAGACAAGGCTGATTGGACTGTAATTCTCTGGGTCTTCCTTCTTGCCTTTCTTGTATATAGTGGTGACATTTGCTTTCCTCCAGTCTTTAAGCACTTCTCCCAGTCGCCAAGATTGATCAAAGATTATCCAAACATTAATTTATAATGCATTGTAAGAGAACAGTTGATGTTTGTGACTTTCCCAACATACGATGCCTCTAAACTGTTTTATTCTGATAACGTTGCAACCGTACTGAATAATGTACAGCTCCTTGTGGTGTAATTCATTGCCCCTTCACTCTCTTGAACAAATATAATCTTGTCCTAATGCATATTTCTGAAACCTATATTATTTTACCATTTCTAAAAGTCGTAGTGGTGTTGTAAGTTTAATGAAGAACTACAAGTAACTTCCATAGGGTATTGGCAACGTAAATCCAGTTTTGTGGAGCCTACTAGATTTATTGCTATCACTGGCTATTATATGGGAAAATGTGACACCTCTGCTATTGTGCTGGAAAATGTCATCTGTTTGCAGTTAGAATCCCATACCCATTCTGCATAAAATCTTGCATACTTTTTGAAAACAAAGGTATTCCACATGGTCATATATTACTTGTAAAATAAACATCCTCAGGCATGGCATAAAGGTGAATGCCCTGTTTTTCTTATAGCTTTGATGTAAAATATTCTGATTGTCAATGTTGCTCTTAAAATATACAGCTGCAGTTACATTTTAGTGAACAAGTCATAAATAAATCCAACCATTTCACCGATGCTGAATGCAGACAATATGTCACGGGGTAGAAATGGAGAGGAAACAACACAGGCAGAAAAGCTCTGTATACCTTCTTTCATTGTGCACTGGAATATACAAGGTCTTAACAGCTTTACAGAGGTTCACTGCCACTGGCTTTAGCAGAATTACTCCCAACTTACTCCTTTTACATGGTGGGGTGAGAGGAACATGACATCCATGTCTGAAGGCTACTACATACAGTCACAGAAATAATTGTGTCACTTCATATGTTCTAATGTAGTGGGGATGGTATTACATGGCAGGAATATAGAGTCTGGGTTTTTTTTGTTGGAATGGCTAGTATTATTTAGCTTGGCCACATTACAGAGGAGGCAAGAGTACTGTTTTAGCTTTCTCTCCAGTTAGAGGGATAGCTTTAAAAAATTGCTTATCAGTTTTTAGGTTTCTACTTTAGGAATATTCCTGTAATTGCTGTCTAGGAGAGTTCTTCGTTATCAGTCTAAACTGAAAAATGCTTTCTAGATTGTAAGTCCTGGCAGGCAGTGAGGAAACTAACGAATCCAAATCCAGATTTCTTGAAATACAAAAAAATTACTTCCTTTGAGTTTGAGAAGCTGGCTGTGTATGTCTCCTGGTGACAGCGGGACAGCCCCACAATTGTGTATTCAATGTGTGAACTAGAGGATTCACTCTGGCCCACCTACTTACCCAGTGTAGCTGGGACAGGCTGGGGTGGAGATTTAACCTGTGTCTGTACAGGCACCAGCGCTTGTGTCCTATGTGAAAGAGTTTGCGTAAGTGGGCTCAATAATGTACCACAGCCTGAGGCATAAAACTGTCCATTTTTGAAAACTAACAGGAATGAGAAGTGTGGACATGAGATAATAATCTGTTGTGGCTCTGCAGTATAAACATTTAACACAGTTTGTTGAAGATACCAGGATTCATATAAACACTTAGCATGTGGCTTTGGATATGACCAGCTTGTGACAACAGAGAGGATTAGATCTTCCAGTTTAACACAGCACTCCAGTGTGTGCTTATTTGATGAATTGGTGCCTGCATTTCTTCAAATGTCGTATTTTTTTTCTTTCTACTAGTCGTTTGGATGAAAGAACCTGAAGCAAAGATTCTGTCTCTGCAACTATATACAAAGCCAGAGCACAGAGCTCCTGTATTTCCAGATGGAAAGTTTTGGATGGAAATATGTTCCCAGGCCCTGCACAGATGGCCAGTTCACAAGCAGAAAGCCCAACACATTAGGACTCTGCTATGTACACAGACTCCAGGTGGTAGCTCTGACTGGGCTGCCTGACGTTTGGCAATTCTGAATAAATGGCCAGAATCCTCTTTTTCTACCTGACCATCATTTATAGAAAACAGAACATGTCCCTGGGAGCCTGCCCGGGCTGTGAGACATCTACCAAAGTGTATGCATTTAGAAGCCTAAAATGCAGAGCTGTTGTGTGTAACTTACGGGGATAAATCACTGACATAATTGTATATTACTTTGGAAAAAAACCCAACAAAACCACAGGAAACTGGACAGGAAAACTTACTACAAATGACATTTCATCCTTGACATCTTGACTTTAAAACTTGCATTGAATAGATGGGCTATAATGTCTAGGCAGCTGTTTGCCTACACATTCCTGTAAATACAGTGCTTGTGTCTGAGCGGCAAAGAGGAGGTGAAAGTATATGAGGAAACATAAACATTTTTCCTGCCCTAATAGAAGAATGCTTCTGAATTACCAAGGAAGGAGGACAAAGCAACCAGCAAACGTGGAGTGCTTTTCTAACAGCAAAAAGTCATAGTAGAATAAGTGATGCTTCATTCTTAAAAGTTTGCTGTGTTTGACTCTAATCTTGTTGAGATTTGGAGCAATCCTTAGTGAAGACAAAGGCAAAGTAAAATCAGGCCCATTCAATAAAGTGAGTACACGCTGGCTGGATGGAGCAGAGATTTGCCCTTCAGGTGGGGTCTGGAGCGTCATTATTTTTAATCAGCCTTTTAAGGACATTGAGGCAGTCAAAAGGTAATGATTTGCCAGTATTATTTTTATTTATTGCGTTTTATACTCTAAGACTGGCTGAACTGATGCAAGTGGAAGACCTTACCTCAACCCTGCTGCCCACATGGGATGGAAGTAAATAAGGGCTGCTCTGTGTTAGGGGCCCAGTTGTGGGACCCAGGCCTGCCGCCTGAACCTAGTTGCTCGGTTTTATATGTGAAAGGTTTCAGTGTTCACTCCTGGTTTAAGATATTTTTTTTAAAGAGAGCTGTGGGATCAACTTTTTAATCTTTGACGGGCCTGTACAAACATCATGTTGAAGCTGCAGTCCTGGAGATGTCTGCAGTGCCATCTAACGGCTACAACCAGCTCAAACAGCTTTTAACCTTTTTCCTTTCCTTTCCTTTCCTTTCCTTTCCTTTCCTTTCCTTTCCTTTCCTTTCCTTTCCTTTCTTTCCTTTTCCCTTTTTTAAAAAAAACAAAACCAAAAACAACACGAAATTTGTTAGCACCTCCAAGAGGTCACAGTTTGGTAGAGAAGGGAGGTCTCTACTCTTCTGTGCTGTATGCAACCATTTTTTTCCTGGCAATAAAAATAAGATGGGCTTCCTTCTAGATTTTTGCCACAATAAGGGGCTCGCTCGCCCTCAGTGTTGTCTCAACAATGTTGGTTTGTCCACACCAAGATTCTCTGGAAATTTCCTCCATCATGGATATCAGTGACAGGGGAAGATCTCCCAGACTATTTCTCTACTAGAAGGGAGTTGTTCTTATGTGTAAAATCTGCCCCAGTGCCCAGAAAATGCCTTACAGGGTTACCTACAGCCCAGTTCAAATCCTGCCAGTTGTAGGACCCCATGTCCTGTGCTAGGCTTGTGCTAAATCAGGTGCTACAGTTCATAAGCAGCCTCTCTCAGGCCCCATCCTCCCAATATGTGGCCACGATGGACTTGACACTGACCTTCAGTGGAGGGAAGCTTTAGGCTTAAATGAAGCAAAGACAGGGAGGTTCAAGTGCTGGTGAAAAGAAGCTGTTTTCCTCCCTGTCTGTGTCTGCTCGTTGCTTGGAATAGCTTTCTAGTGGTGGGGCAACGGAAATAAGGCAGGACAGAACCTGAGAGTTGCCCTTAGCATGTAATTTGTCTTTATCCAAAATATTACACAAACACCTTCTAAGTTCCCCAAAGTGTTTCACATTCTAAAGTGATGCTCAGGGCTTTCCAGGGTTTCCTGTTCAGGAATGGCTTTCATTCTTCAGACCTGATCCATCAAGTTCCTTAGCTTGCCTTGTAAATTCCTAACTATTGCAGGGTAGAGGGGTGCTGGCAGTGCCCAAGATCTTTCCTTTTCTCTATGTCACATTTTAACTTTTAAGGCACTTGGTAATTTTTTACCAAGCTCAAGTTTGTTACAGAGTTTGAAGAGACTTAGGGCTTTCTATCTGAGTGACTGTACTTGAAGCTTCTTGTAAGGATATGGAATTACACCTAGTGACTCAGATGGCCCTTCTAGGATGCTAAGTCCCTTGAAGTAGAAATTCAGCATGATGAATGGATTACCTGGCTCTTAACAGGGAGCCACAGTGATGCTTTTGGCAATATGTAGCCTTGCAGGTTGAGTGACTGTTCCTGTGAACACAGATCAGAACTTGTGCCTAAGGATTTCAGCAAAGCATCATATTTGAGTGGTTTTATTCCAAAATACATTTGCTTGTGTCTTGTGTGTCAGACTTTAAGTGTTTGAAACATTTGGATGCCCTGCTGAGTTTTACTTTTGTTGCTTGAAATACATTTTACATGGAGAAGATTTTGAACCTTGGCTGTAAATATGAGATGCTGGTGTCTAATTTATTTTTTTGTCTGTTCTCACTGTAGGATTTGCTCTCCTTGGAGGACATCCTTCCTTCCTCACAACACAAGACATACATCTGGGTACTAATGAGAGTCTCACAGATACAGCCAGGTTGGTAAAATGTCACTTGATTGATCACTGTGTATTTGTAATTGATCAGAATTTTGGAAGCTAATATATTCTTTCTGGAAAATGTCAGAAGGCACTACAAATTTCTTAACTACTTAGAGATCAGCTCACAGAATCTGTAGTTCAGTATGCCATCATCCCATCCACTCTAGATCTCCAAGATGTCTCGCAATGAGAAATATTTTTATCAAATTTGGCATATAGAGTGTTAATGAGAGCGACAGTCACACAAATGGAAACATTTTATGAACCTCAGTAGTACAGCTCCACTGATGAGAGCACGTGTATTCGAACAAGACTAGAACCTTCTGGTTCTGTTGCACCTCATGGAGTTAGAAGTACAGCTGACTGGCAAATGAAAAAGCAAAGGCTTCATTTATCCTGGTTAGGCCAGCTGCTGGTGGGCCTTAGCCCACCTGCAATGACAGGGTGACACCGAAGGCCACTCTGATTCCCCTATTTCAGCAGCACCAAACTTGACCAACAATTTGCAGCCAGTTTCTGGTTTCCTGTGTGCTCCTCCACAGCTGTACCCACTGTCAGGACTGCTGTGGAGGCTGGGCTATGACACTGTTCTCTTACTGGCAGCCTTAGAAGATCTTAATCCTGCCCAGTCCCACGTGCATGCAGGGATGGGTAGCTATCAGCCTGTCCCCATTGCCATAGCAAGCAAGAACTGAACTCAAGGTTTTTCTCCGGTGGATTCTCTCTGATGTTGCAGAAAGTAGGCAGAACATGAGGTTATCTTTTGAAGGTGCTGTTGCCGTTTTTCATAGCATTCCATGTATTAAAGACTCATCCAGCCTCAGTATTGTGCTGCTTTCTAGGCAGCCCTTTTGCAGCCTGAGGTCGATTCAGTCAGGCTTAGCTGTTAGTAGTGTCTGAAAGGTCCTCTTTGTTCTGGTGAGATATGCAGTTCATCAGGTTCAATTCAAAATATGCAATCAGCCAGCTGAGGTTCTGTTGCCTCTGCTCTGTGCTACAGTTTTCACAGTCAGTGGGAGAGGTTGGTTGAGAACTATGTTGCTGTTCTCTCTGTGATGAAATCCAAGACAATGTAAGAAAAAGGCCAAACATTTGAACACTTTAAATTTTCCTTTCTTCTTCGTTTTAACTACTGAAGTGGAAGATATATGGGTGTTGGTAGTAGAAAGTAAAGATTTCAGTTTCTTGAGGCTTGGAAGTACTTAGCTCTTATTCCCCGCTAGATACGTATCTCTGCCAGATTCAAAGCAAGCTGCAACAATAGTGCTTCAACAAAAGTATGTCCCACTGCCTTGCTTTAGTAACTACAAGTTTAAAAGATTAAAAAATAATCTAAACTTTGGGCCTATAAAGGGAACAGATTAATCTGAGACTTAACAGTCAAGTCTGAGGTACAGTAGGCCACTGTGTCCAGTTCAGCAGAGCTCATACACTGCCATAGGATTCAAATAAATCCCCTGAAAATAAATGTTTCATCCATCATGGGACATAGTCCCAGTTTAAGCAGGACAGCTATAGCTTCATCAAAGTGTGCCATTTAAATGCTTCAGGGCACATGCATCCCTGCTACAACGCTACTGGCATAAGAGATGGAGGATTTTTCAAGTCAAATATACATAGCTGTGGTGGTTGGGGTGGATTCACCCTTTTTGCTTATACCTTGCAGCCAAACACAGCCTGCTCTATCGCCCTGCCCCCCCCTCACCCAGGGAGTAGGGGAGAGAATTGGAAGGAAAAGGGCAAGGAAACTCACGGGTTAAGATAAAAACTATTTAACTAATTAAAATGATGATGATAACAACAGTGATAACAGAATATACAGTTGAATGATGCACAGTGCAATTGCTCACCACCTGCTGACCAATGCCCAGCCTGTGCCAGACAGCGATCCTGGAGCCAAGAGAGTCCCAAAGCCAAAACCCTGGAAGAGCAAGCCCAAGCGATCCTTGAGAGAATACCCCCGTCTTCCGGTCAACCCTGACACGATGTGATATGATCTGGAATATTTCACTGGCACATCCAAATGCCAGTTTTGGGTTTTGCTATTCACTGCGCTTCTCCGTCCCAGTCCTAATGCAGCTGTGAACCAACCAAACATGGTTGGTTGAGCTCCAGCAACAACTAATAACACCAGTACTGTTATCAACATTCCTCTCATAACAAGTTCTGCTGAAACTAAAACACAGCTACTCTAACTACTGAGAAGAAAATTAACTCTATCCTAGCAAAACCAGGACAATAGCTTACTATGTCATCTTAAAGGTGAATGGGAAACATATCAAAGGTAAATCCCCCACAATGATATAGGTAAGTATTATTCTGCAGGCATCTTACCTTTTCTTCCATTCTCACTGGACCACAGTAAGCAGAGAGCCTCTTGGCTGAGAAGGGGGAGGAGGAGAGGATGCTGACAGAGGGCACAGTAGGAGGGAGATGAGAAGCTGGTGCTGAGAAACTGGGGCTGAAGAGACAGAACCTGATACGCTCCACCAGCATGCCAGGCTGGAAGGACAAAGTTCAACTATTCAATCAGCTTAAAGGAATTGAAATTGAGAAGGGATGGGCTACAGAACAATGGGAAATGAATGAAAAAGTGCAGAGGTGTCACATTTGGGAAGAAGTGACTTCAGGCTCCAAGACAAAATGTTGTGGAAAGATTGGAGTGCCACCGAAGGTGGCAGGTGAAGCCAAAGGAAGGGTTGATTTACTAGGGGCAATGTGAAATTGAATTGTGGCACTTGTGAATGGGAAGAGAAGGACAAATGGTGAGTCTTCAGAGCAGTATGTCAGGGTGCCATGTGGGCTGGTAGCTCTGTGGGGACTAGGGAGGTCCAGGTGCCAGAAGCTCCCCCTGTGTCAGGCAGGGCAGGGCAGGGTCTTGTCAGCTGGCACCTGTCCCCCTGCCCCCAGCCAGGGAACAGGGCAGCCAGGAGGCAGCTGGGACAGCCGCAAACCAGGGCATCGGGCATCTCTGTGGGGATGGGAGTGGGCCAAGGCCAGGCTGGGACATCCGCCCACAGGTCAGGATCAGCATGGGCATAGTTACAAAGCAGCAAGAGATGTGACTCCCAAGAGAAGAGAATTGGCCTTGATGGAGGCTCCCTGCAGTGCTGTCTGGGAGCCTCCTCTCCCCCCTGACATCAAGTGATGAGAGGTAGCCCTCAGCTGCACTGTTGCAAAGTTGGCTCTGAGCCCCAGCAGCCAAACCTCCCAGAAGGGTAGGGATGGGACGAGGGCCCTTACACCGTGCTCCCCTGCCATAACCTCTCTGAGCACCATCCCACCAGATGTGCAGGACTGTCGTTGGAGGCTCACTGCCATTCAGATACCAACCCCTCAGCAAACGCAGGTGTGTTCTGATACACAAACAGACATGCCATGTATAGGCTGGTTTTAATTTCTTTTTCATCCCAAATGGGATAGTAAAGGGCCATTAAATCTTTTGTTCACAGTCCTTTGAATGACCTTTGTTTGCACAAGCAGAAGGGAAAAAGAAAGACAGTAAGCCACAAGAAATAAGGTAAAAAGTAGAAGCAGGCAAATCTTCCAGCCATTCTGGAGGAGTCTCCATCCCGTGGAGAAAGCTCCCACAATATCCACTTCCCATGCACTTCCCATCCCACTTCTCAGCCCCCCGTTTCCCTGTCACTGCTTGCTCGTCCAGGTCAAGTCCCTCTTAATGACACTGATCTGGGGATTTTGCTCCTCTGCTGAGTCACAAGCACTTGCCTGCTACAGGGGAGTGAGGACTTTCCCAAGTCCTTACAGAGCCCCATGTGCTCTGCTTGACTCCTGCTCTCATTAGCAGAATTATTATTGACTTTGCATAATCAAGGCTGAGCAGTTTACCCAAAAGAACAACCTGAGTGTTAATTCCTTGTGAATGAAGGATAACATGCCAACCTCATTCAGTTAGTGTAAGAATAAAAAAAGAATGCCTGTAGCAGACCCAGAGGGTATTTCAAATATTTACAGCCATGTGTCTAGGGCTCTGAATGCCTTCGAAGTACTTGAGGATGAGACTTAAAGCAAAAAGGGCATAGCTCTATAAAAGTCCCAGTTTTTATTAGAACTGCTGCAGGTAAGGGTTGAAAGCATTTCTGCTGTGAACATATTTTTAGTGACTTATTACCTGCTCATAATGCAGTTCTTCCATGCTTCACAGGACATTTACATTTACACTGACACAGTAGCAAAAAGTTACCACCCGTTAAGGAGCTCTAAGTCTTTCAGTGCTGTTTAGCATGTCTGATATATTATGTGACATGAAATATAAGTACTGTATCTGTACTTTCCACTGTAGAGCAATTCCATTGTGCACTGCTGTGTCTCAGTGGCCAGAAAGTTCAGTGGCAGCACTGAAGAACCCATGGGATGGTTTTACCAGGCCACTGGCGTTATTAGGGGATGAATCTCTGCATCTGTGGGGAACGGGTTTACTTCTCACTGGTTACTGAGAACACATGCAGCTGTGAGACTGTGAATGGCAATGAACTAATCTTGTCAGAAATTTAAACCTTTTGAATGGATACATACTTCCAAAACAAAAACAAAACTACCTTGGATAGCAATATTCTACAGACATGGGTCAAGTTCTTCTCTCCCTATAAACTCACTGGGCTAGCCCTTGGCTAGCAGCCAACACAGCTGTTCACCCACTTCCCCCCCACCCCAGGGGATAGGGGAGAGGATTGGTGGGCAGGGATAAGGAGTCTTGTAGGTTGAGATAAGAATAATTTAATAATAGAAATAAAAGAAAACTTAAAATAATACTAATATTAAAATAGTAGTGATAATGATAACAGTAACAAAGAGATACAAATCAGAGATACACAGTTGCAGTTGGTGAGCAGTTGCATACTGACCAAGCCCGGCCCGTTCCCAGATAACGATCCCGGAGGAGCGACAATCCCGAACCGAAACTGCAATCCCGGAAGAGCCAGAGCCCAAACAAAAGCCAGAGAGAGACAAAAGAGGAAGAGACCCTCACTAATATACTGGACATGGTGTGATATGATATGGAATATCCCATTGACATATCTAGATGCCAATTAGCTTATTAATTTAAATATTCCTCACCCCCTTGGATCCTGTGCTTGTAGACTAACAGAACACGAAGTCCTTCACTTCCAGTGACATAAATGCAAACACTGGTGTGTTATCAGTGTCTCTCCTATAACAAGTCCCAGGCTGAAAGCAAAACACAGCACTATTCTAACTACTAAAAGGAAACCCAGCTCTTTTCCTGCTAAAAACCAGGACACCAAAATATATGTGAATGCCCCATTTTCAAATTCCGAGATCAGCCACACCAAAAAGGGATACTGATATTTGTGTTTAATTTTTGATTCTTCAGAGGATTCACTCGAGTAAAAATTTACAGTTTTTCTCTGTAGAAATAAAGTTATTTTGAAAAGAGAGATATGCAGCATTCCAAAACACTCATATATTTCCAAGCTCTGGGATTTTGAAGTTTATAGGCTCACCATCTTGCAAAAAGAATGAAAAGAGAAAAAGACCTTGTAGTTGGTGATAACATAGGAACCTTAAGTGAAAGGTCACCTGATGAGCCTGTGCTTACTCCCCCTCACCTTCCAGAACATCACCTTTACTAAGTCTCTTATCTAGCCAGGTCTTTTCTCCTATGCAATCCCAGCCTTACATGGTTTCTTTTAAATTGATTTGATTACAGGAGACTGTAATCTCATCTCTTCAGATGAGGTATATAACATGGTTTCTTTTAAATTGATTTGATTACAGAAGACTTCATCTCTTCAGATGAGGTTTTGTTTTTTTTTTCTGAGTTCAATTTGGTTTTGTTTTCACAAAGAATAAATCCAGTTTCCACCTGGGTTTCCTACTGTAAAATATGACGTCTAGAAATGCTGGCAGGACTGTCTGATGTCTTGCTGATAAGTGTTTAATAAGTCTAGTATCTACTTTCAACAGATTAAGGAGGAAAATCCAGCAGTTTTCACTAGTTGATAATTGATTATGTCTGAATTTCTTCTAGTGACATACCATGTAAAGGAGCCATCTTCTTTAAATTCTTCATCAGTCATATATCATGTCGGGTAGGAATCAGCTGTCCTAACTTCCTAAAAAAAGTCTAATAAAAATAGGAAATTTCCCAGTGTAATTTCCTCTTTTCCTTGATGGGTAGGACTGGCTATGCCTTGTTTAGTGTGGACACCTGTTAGATGGCTAACAAAAGGGACCACGCATCCCATCCCTGATGACTAGCTCAGAACAGAACAGGTTTTCCACAGTCATGTGCTTCAAGGTAGAATAAACACACACATACACACACAGAAAAAGAAACTCATAAGCTAGGAAGACACAAACAGCAACTGTTCCAATACCCTTCAATCAGTAAATACCTTGTTTGGTTCCTCCTTTTCACTTGTAGCTGCTATTGGCAGTCTTTTCTTCAGAGAGAGCTCTACAGGGAATCTTGTAACATTTTATAAGAGTTTTGCTTATGTGAGGAATGTCTGGTGTCAGTAAAAAATATTTGTTACTGACTTCATCAGGAGATTTGTCTGTGTAAAGACCATGGCATTAACAGCCCTCTTTCCACAAGAGGAGGTACCAGAATTCTTCATGGCTAATCAGGAAGATAGACACTGCAAGGATTTTTCATACTCTTCTATTCAGTTTCATCCTTTTGTTTTAAGGTCCTATTAGAGATAACATGAAAACACACAAAATGCTACTTCAAAGTCAGGCTTCAGGGCCTGATTAAAACACAGACACAGAGGGATGCAGAGCTCAAATCCATATTTAATTTATCTAAAGAATTCAGAGCATACCGAGTGTACTGGGCTAATCCACTGCGCTAATCTCTGAGTCTTTCACACTTTGGCAAATGAGGTTAAGGCCAGAGTGGTACCGTGACTCCTGCACGCCCCTAAGCACATACCGAGTTTCAAATTTGGGCATTGCTTTAAGGCTGACACCATGTGTGTCAATATGCAGGTGCGTAGGCAGGAGAAAGAACAGGCTGGTGGTGTTGGCCTCCAGTTTCTGTGTTCGTTAAGATCAGTAAATAAGAGTAAATAATTGTGGTAATCTAAGACAGATCTGTATTCCTAATCCTCACAAAGATCACACTACTATAGAATCATAGAATGGTCTGGGTTGGAAGGGACCTTAAAGATCATCTAGTTCCAACCCCACTGCCACGAGCAGGGACACCTTCCACTAGACCAGGTTGCTCAAAGCCTCATCCAGCCTGGCCTTAAACCTCTCAAGCCTGTCAAGGTCCCTCTGGATGGCATCCCTTCCCTCCAGCATGTCAACCTCACCAGACAACTTGGTGTAATCAGCAAACTTGCTACACAGAGACACTGTACTATTCAGTCAATGCTACATTTGTTCTTTGCTAAAAGACTCAAGAAATCTTATACTTTATCTCTTCTGATGTTATCAAATTCTTCAAATGTTACAGTTTCACGCCATCTCTTATCTTAGTTCAGATACCTCAACATTTATTGACGTTACATCTGTAGCTACAAACGCTAAAGAGAAGAAAACATAAAATACAGCAGCAGTTTTCATTTACTTACCGTAGCTTGTTAATAAGTAAAAGTGCTTATTTATTAGCAGCTTGTTAAATGTCTGCATTTAAGTGTGTTATGCAGACATGATAAATTATTCACATAGCTGAAAAAAATTGATTCATTACCACTTCTCATTAATATTTATGTGTTGCACGCTGGAGGGTGCAACAGGGATATATTTATTATGTTTGACTTGGATATTTTCTGCCATCCTCTAGGGTGCTGTCCAGCATGACAAATGCAATCTTGGCTCGAGTTTATAAGCATAACGATCTGAACCTAATGACGAAAGAAGCCACGATCCCAATAATCAATGGATTGTCCGATTTATACCATCCTCTCCAGATTTTAGCTGATTACCTAACTCTTCAGGTAACAATCTAATCCCTGATCAATAACAGGTGTTTTTGGTAAGTCTTGATCTGAGTAAATATTTGGGGAAGTCAGGTTCAAAATCATTTATTCCTTGGTTTTTCTAAGTGGTAATTACATGGCACTTGTTATTTAAAGAGATCTTCATCCAGCAATATAATTAAGGATCTGTTTAATTTAAAACAATTACCTAGTCCTGTCAGATGTAGTGGGACTGAAGTTAAGCATAAAATTAAGTACTTCGTTGGAATTAGGCTGCAATTCAAAAAATGTGCAGTGGGCTTTACACATTAAGATAAAGGTGAGATGTTGGCTCAACCAAAGCCAGTGGAACTTTTTTCACTGACTTAAAAAAACTCAGTAGCTCACTCTTGATTCCTCCCTAAACTATGAGCAGTTTAAAAGGAATTACTGTCCATAGATTAGGAAACTGGTTGGACAAATTTGTTTTGAAAAGCCAGCTAATGATACCAGTGCAAACATCTAGTGTTCAGCACTTAAACCTATTTAAACTTTGCTCACATCAAAGAATAGTTAAAGAAGATCATATTTTGTAGTTTAATCTAATTAAATAGTTGATTTGACAGCAGGATAACATTTTACACACAGCATACCAGATGTTTATCTGTGAATAGAAGGAGTATGCTCTTTTACAATCAATCGAGGAACCGGCTTATAAAAAAGATTATTATACTGCAGTGCTGGTTGACAACTATGATAAACTCCCCTGACCTTGTTTACTTTCTGAATGAATAAAAATCACACTGCTTGAAAAAGGGAGGGCAGAATAATGTCCTGATTCATTCAGCTGTGTTTCTCAGCTGTTGAAGACTTTGCTATGGGACATTCAGTATGTGGAAGAGATCTAGTGAGACTAATATTAAATTATCCATGCCTTAAACTTTAAATACTGAAAGACTCCTATGTTTAGTGAAAATTACATTTTCCATACTCTGATCAATATTTTTTGTACAATTTTCAATACTTAAAGTGAAGACACCAGAAAAAATTGGTGAACTTGAGACTAAAATGCTTCACATACCTCAGAATAAGGTACATTTGTGAGATCACATTAGACCAACCACAATGAACTGTTTGAATTATGAAAGACAGTAAGATGCAATGAGTTCATCATCAATCATTAAACGTCATAATTCCATCTAAACACTGCGTGCAGCTGTGAACCAGGTGAACCTTATGGTTGTTTTGCGGGGGATTCTGTCTTGCAAACATTTCAGTTACTAACGTATCTTATCACTTGTGAATAGCAGGCTTCAGGAATAATCTGTGACTCACAACTATTGATATCTCTGCCCCTAAATCTAGTTTTATCCAGGCCACTGACTGCGGCACCAAAGTTCAGAGCACTGGTGCCCTGTACTCCATCTCCCGTCAATGAAGAGAGCCTGCTGAGCATCTAGGTCACCCTCTAGAGATCCACTGATCTGAGAGGAAAACCTACGGAGATGAGCAGAATGAGCACCCCCTCTGTTGATCATCCTCTGCTCTTCCTCCACTATGTCCTTGTATAGGGCAGCCATGGTGAAAGCTCCAGGTGAACATGAGCCCACAGGTTGGACTTTTCCTTGGTTTGAATACCTAGGGCAGCAGCAACAGCAGGTGGATGTCCTTGTTGCATCAAGCACTGGGGAGGACATCTTTGCAAAGGGTGTCCTTGCCCATTTTACATAAGGAGAAAACAGAACCATGACAGTTGGTGCTCAAACAAAAGAAACATTTAACGTGGAGAGATATGACAAAGTGGGCACTTACAGGGATCTACAGTAATGCCTTAGCTTTTGGACAGCCGTGGAAGCTTTTTAAAATGTACAACACTTTCCCAGTCAGCTTGATAAGCAGAGCACTGTTTCCTCCAACCATGCCCATCTCTCGCCAAGTCTTTCCAGCACGTTCCCTTAGCCCAGAGTTTGTCAGGAGGTCTTTAGAGGGCAGCTGGGTGGCCGCCCCACCTTGCCAAGGGCATGCTGCACCACTGGTTTGTGACCAACTTTCCATTTTTGCTTTCTCACCCAGAAGGGAGGGACAGGCAGGGGGCACCTCTTGGCAGCGCGCTGTGGGTGTTGGCACTGTGGGCTCTTTGCCTTTCTAACTTACTAACTGTCTGCTGCCTTTTTTTCTCTCTGCACTGTACACTGAGGTGGAGAAGACTGGTCTTACAGCCAGTAGCATGTAATAAAATGGCAATTTAATCATACAATGAACTTTACCAGGTCACAGAAGTAGGATTAACACTTGAAGAAGTGTAAGCCACAGGGTCGAGATGTTATTTACCGCAATCAAACTTCTCATGGGATTTTCGGCAGGGTAAAAAGATGTTGTCTGAGTATTGCCTGCAAGAAGATTAATATAAAGATATTGAATAGTACCACTGGTTCTTTAAAAGAGGTGAAAGTTTATCTATAACATTTGGACTGCTTTGCTGCAATACAAAGGCAATTTATTTAATTTCTACATACATGCAAACTACAATAGTGGCACAGACTGCTAGCCTTACATTTAAATGTAACTACAGATTTTGTGCAGCTTATTTCTCTTTAAAAATATCTCTTCCTTATCTCTGTAAATATTTTCCTGCCTGGACCTGCTCCTCCCTGCTGTCAGTACATACCCAAAATGTACTTTTTTTTTCCCTCTTCTTTTTTCTCCTGTTGCGTTTGCCAGCGGAGCAAATGCACGCTGGTCATCTTCATGCTTAGCACATTTTTATTCTTCCATTTTCTAAATCCTATTAATTTTATCATGTGCCTTCTTGAGTCCTCTCAAGCACTTTCTCTTCAGTCTGAAACTACCTAATTTCCTGGTTTGTTTTGTCAGAACATCTTCTTGCTTGTGGCGTCTGAATCCCTTTTCACAGGTGCATTTTAGTGGGGTTATTTTAGTGTAGTCTGTTGCATTCCCCAAACAATGTGGCTGCTTTATTTTCAGGGCTGTCAGTTCTTGTTCTGTATCCAGGGTGTTCTTGTCAGATCACAAAATGTGCTCCTGTCATGAATACTGGAGTGAGATTCTTCAGGTTCAACATCCTCTTTCCCAGTGCCTTCTTCCTGAGCAACCTGTAGCCCCTCACAAGTTTGACATCTAAGCTGGTTCTGCCCTTTAATACTGTGGTCAGGATTAATGAGATGTTTTTCTTAGCATACGTGCTACCCTCTTTCTTAAAAGTTGGGTTGAGCTGAGCTTGCTCTTGAGTTATATCCCACTACAAATGGTTGTAAAAATTATGCAACCTGATTTTGAGGGTTTGGGGATTTGGCCTTTAAAGACTATGTGTTTGTGTGCTGGTACTGTGCATGTGCAGAGCCACTTTACTCCTCTGTCTGTCCTGAAGGCATGTAACAGCCACTTGCTGAGTCCACTGGGTGCCTCTGTCTCCTGGGCAGAAGCTGTGGCTCACAACTTCTGCTCCGCAAAGCTTGGCTGGAGGGCAGCATCACACAATTTGTATTCTGGGGACAACCCTGAGTATCGACCTTGATTCAATTGATACTGATGTCACTGGCCAAATCAGCTGACTTGTAGTTGACCGCAGGACTGCCAGACTGGTAATTAGAGTGGATCCATACGCCACTGGCTTTTTATGTCACTGCTCTGAAGGGAAATAAATTTCTTTTTCAGAAGGAAATGTTTGGCGTAAGAAATACATCAGTGATTCCTTTTTAAATAGTGTAACAAATTACAGTGTTGCCCAGCTTGAAGAGGGCTGCCATATATTCTCAATCTCTCCTTGATGTGTGATCCAAAGAGTTCAAATTATTATAGTCTTAAAATTCATCACCATCATTGTCATCATCATTATTCTAACAATTAGAAATCCCAACTAAGATCTGGACTGATTCTTTAGGTTATAATGGTTGAATGACCATGACAAAAAACAGTGTGGGAATAAGAAAGATAACTGCATCTGCCTTCAGCTCAGTTTGAGAGCTGGTAGATCCAGGTTTGCCCAGTTTCTCATTTACTGGGTTGCACTGTCTCTCAAAGGGCTAAAGCTTTGACTAGTCCCCTGGTTTCCATTTTAAATTTTGACAGATTATTGATTCATTACTCAAAAGCTTGCTTTAATTGAGGACTGTTATGACTGCTGTGGTCAAACATTTCAGAAGTGATCTATAATGGTGTCAGAGTTTCAGCCTAGCTGGAAGCAAGTCCAGGCAGAGACAGACACAAATGTCCCTAATTAGTGAAACCAATCTTCTTTGAACATACAACAGTGCTTAATCACTGAGCATGCTTATTTTTTCCCAGGGTTTGATGCACTGATACACTGCAACCATGGCTAAGAACAGAATGAAACACTGTAAAAGCAGCATGAGTGTGAGAAAGTTGACTGTAAAATTGACAATTATTTAGCAGGAATTTTTCATGACAATAGCAAAGCCAAGTTTTGTGGCACTACAGCAGCAATCACTAGTGTGCCAAAGAGGCATTCATAAGGGAAAAGGGCTCTATGCTTTCTAAATATGTTATTTTTTTTAAATTTATCTATTACTAGGTGTATAAATATTTTAAAGTCAGGTTCCAAATGTAAAGAGAAACTTCAGAACACCCAAGCAGTTAAAAAGCCTACATCAATATGGCAGAGTCTGGAAAAACTGACGAGGGATGTGAGGGGAAAAATATCTCCAGACGCTCAGGTGATCAGCATGTATTGTAACGGTTCGGGTTTAACCTGGAGTGTTACCATCGTGGCAGCACACGTTTAGCAGGATTTTCTCAATGCAGTTGTATAAGCATATACTATAAAACAGGAAAAAAAAAAGTCTCATATCTCATATACAGTATCTTTCATAGTGCCTCAAAGCTTTCTGGTTCTGACCAACACAATCATCTCCTCTTTCCTGGAGGCTGAGGATGCATATGTATAAGCAGTACAGTCACTGTCATAGTGCGCTGGCTTCAGATGAAGAGGTTTGTGTTGCAGCAGCAGTGTACCAGTGGCAGTGTACCAGTGGCAGCAGCAGTGTACCAATGGCAGCGTAAAGCTTAGCACAGGATAAAATAGGCTCCACTAGCACACACAGAGCTTGATTCTGCCTTGTCTATAACATCCTCCATTAGCTAAACATCTTCATTAAGATGAGCTCAGCTATGTCCACTCCATACAGTAGTCTCTCCAGATGTGGCTTTGCAATTTGCAGTGCATATTGAGGGTCATTATGCAGACACCTCCAGTCCTTTGTATTTTATCTGTAACAGCTAGTAGCTTGGGAAAACAGAGAAAAGTATTTAGTATGCACTGTGCTTCTTTTAATGCAGAGCAGCAGCTGGTAATAAGGTGGAAGTTATTTAACATAGCAGTATATTTGTGACTCACTAGTCTGTGCTTTGAGCATTACAGGCTGTGATGTCTATTTTTAAACGTAAGATCAAAAGAACTCAGGGCTGTCTCATTTGCTCCTGGCTGTGGGTTCATGTCTCAACTGTCACTAAGCCCTAGCTGGAAACAAACCCTTAAATAAATGCTTTAGTTTGGCCTTCTTCTAGGAGCACCATTGCTAGGAGATGTGGAAGGACTTTGAAAGATCCTTAGAGACCTGCAGAGCTGTTATGCTGAAATAACTTCCGTGTTCACAAAGTCCTGATTTGCTCTCCTGTAAATGCCCTTGCATCAAACCTCTGCCAATGAGCCTGCTGTTAACAAACTTCAACCAAAAAAGCAATAGTTCTACAATACCATAGTTTTAGCCCTTAAACTGTAGGCAACCTAGGACTCCATTAGGTTTAGATTTCAACAGCATTTTAATGTAATCCAGTATTTCAAATGCTACTATTTTTGACTCAAAATTGTGGTCACTGGCAGAAATGCCAATAACTTTGTTCTGGAACAACTTCACAACTATTTGTTTAGGAGGAGCTGCTGTCAGGAGAGGAGGGGTAGTCCCAGTCCTTTTCCTTTTCCATCTTTTGGCATCTTTTCTGCAACTGCCTGCAAGGTTGCCAGTTAGTACAGCTCCACAATGTGGATGCTTATCCTCTCTGACAAGCATTGAATCATGTCACACACAAAGTGTTGAAACACTGTCTGGCTTCCAGCTGCTACAATACAATTGTAGCATGGCCCAGTTTTGAACTAAGAATAAAAGAGTCTACATCATGTCTTTTGTCTTTTGAGTCATGAAGTGGAGTTGCTAAAGGGCCTCAAGTTATCCTGCTCTGAAAATATGAAACTCCTGCTACTCTTTTTGCTCCTTAGGCCTTATCTGTTGGTGGCTGAGGGCCAGAGTAGCTGCACATGTACAGACTGCAAGTGCCATCAGGCAAAGCTACGGTTAACGCTGTAACGCTGTTGCTGTTGTAAGTTTGGGTAACCCACACTTTAAAAAACCACTGTACTCTTTGGCTGTACATCGGAGAGCAAACCCTGCAGGCCATGAGTTGCACAGCTGCTTTCAAAGTATGGATCTTCGCTGTCCTGTACAGCTGTGATGATTAAAATGCATTCCAAGTGCATGGCCACTGCCATGGCCTCAGGGAACATTGTGTAGAGACAGCCAAGCCAGAGCAAACCCGAACAGGGATATATTCACAGTTTGGGGGGAAGCTAGAAGGAATGCTATCCTAGGCATCAGGACTGCCTCTAAATGAAGAATGGCATATGTGTCAATGTGTCCTTTACTGGAGAAAGCTGCAGCACTCGGGTCTTCATGTAAGACATGAAGGGCTTTCCCTCCCTCACCATCTTGTAGCTGCAGTAAGTTCAATTAAAGGTAGGGTTCCATGCATTTGAATGTACACAGCCTTCTTTGCACAAGACCCACCTGATCAATCCCTCCTACCTAGGCCAGCAGCTTGTTTAGCTCGCCTGGAACATAACCCCAGGGCTGTCTAATTCATCTGGCAGGAGCACTATGGCGGGCTGAACGGGCTCACTATCACCTGGATCGGGGATGGAAACAACGTCCTCCACTCCATCATGACGAGTGCTGCAAAGCTGGGAATGCACCTGCGTATTGCAACTCCCAAGGTAAGAAAACCTTGGGAGTAAGGAAGGCAAACTGCTCATTCCTGTCTCAGCCACTTGAATACTTCCCAAGGGCCTCAGCTAGTGGTGCCTACATGTATCGAGTGCCAGCTTTCAGAACCCAAATTCAGAATCCTGATTCAGTTATTTTGATGCAAAGCAGGAGTAATGCTACTGAGTCCAACTTCAGAAGGCTGAGGGGAATTTGTGACAGCAGTATGAATCACAGAGGATAATAATTCAATTTGAGAAGGCGTTACAAAATCATCCAATGCACTTTCCCCCCAAAAAGAAATTTTTAAGTTTTTTCAGACTGATGGAAGGGGGGGACCTTGACAGGCT